TAGGGAAAGGCTGAGAGAACTGGAGCTCTTCAGTCCAGAGCAGAAAAGGCTTGGGAGGATCTGACCAACACGTATAAACACCTGAAGGGAGGCTGTGAAGAAGACAGAGCCCAGCTCTTCTCAGTGGTGCCCAGCAACAGGACTAGAGGCAGCAGGCACAATCTGAAACATGGGAGGTTCCCTCTGAACATCAGGAAATATTTTTTTTTTTACTCTGAAGGTGGCTGAGGTGGCACAGTTTGCCCAGAGGGTTCTGGAGTCTCCTTCCTCAAAGACATTTAAAAGTTGTCTGGACATGATCTTGGGCAACTGGCTGTAGGTGGCCCTGCTCAAGTGGAGGTCCCTTCCCACCACAGAGGTTCTGTGCTTGTCATGTGATTTTTTTTTCTGAAATACAGGCTTCCTTTTAGCAGGCTCTGAGGATTTGCTGCAATGGCTGTTTACCCTGTTCCCTTGTTTTGTTTCCCTCCAGGAACATGCGTATCCAGCTGATGAACTGATGCCTCTGACTTGTCGTGGCCGAGTGCGGGGTCAGGAGCCAAGCCGAGGGGACGTGGATGATGCCTTGGGAAAGTTAGTGCTTGAAATGGTTACTGTCTCATGGCAACATTAAGGAATCTTAAGCACAATTTGCAGCCCATAAAGCTTCTTTCTTCAGTTGACATGTCCACAAATTTACATTTGTTGAAAAAGATTTAGTGGGTGCAGACAAATATGTAATTTGTCTCGTAAGTTCTCTAACAGGGGTTGGGAAGAAAGCTCTAGATGTGAACTTAATAGAAGTTAGGTAGAAATATTTTTATTACTTCTTTCTGTGATGTTAAACTGATGTGAAATTGTACCTTAATCAGAGAAAGAATTGACCAGGGAGTGAGATACAAAGACAATGGTGTTTTGTTTTTTTAAATCATTCTTCAGCTATTTTCCATAGGAAAGCCTTCCAAATGTGAGCTGACACTTAGAGTATTAGTTAATTGACTACTAAATAGGGGTTATAAGGGTTGACTATCAGCTGCACATAACAGTAAAGTGTTACCCATCATGCTGGCCTTAAGTGATATTTGAAGTGCTTTTCACATTTTTATTTTTTTTTTTAGTAGAAAGCACTCTGAAAACATAATTAGTCATGTGATTATCATGTGTGTGGTAGCCTGAGGCCTTTGCCAGAGTATCAAATGTTGCATCAGACATAGAAATTCTTCATATTTTTCCTTGTAAGATATCTTATAATAGAACATATTCTATTGGCTGGCATCCTTTGGCTGGCAGAATATGAATGATCAGAGGTGAAGTGGAATTGCTCTAAATATGTTTGTAATTGTTTGGGGTTTTTTTTCACAAGGAATGTGCTGTGTATGTTTATAGGGCAAATACTTAGTAAATAGCTAATGTTTTTTGTATTGGTGTGGAACAGTGTTAATCACAGCTGAAATCCTTGTCTTAAGTATGACTTCTAAGTCACCCTGATGTTGAGTGTGTTATTTTTTGTTCTGTACAAAAGTTTCTCAGTCTGGAGATTCCTGTATAAGCCTGTTGCCTTGGAGGTATTGACAGATATGACTGATGAGAAGGGGGTGTCAAGAAAATGGATTTTTAATCCTGATCATGAATTCTTTTTATGACATTTTTTTACATACCAACATGCTCTCATTTGAGTAAAAATACCTTTTCATCCCCTTAGATGCACTGAATAGTTAAGTATTTATTATTCTCCTGTATACGTGCTTTTTTCTTCTCCTCATAATTAGCTATATTCTTATTTATCACAATTCTTATATAACCCTTTTTATTGCCAACTGGCTCATCAGTCACATTCCCTACAAGCCTTTGCAATCCCAAAATGACAGGGTGAGACAGCCAGGTCAGTGTGTTACCCTGCAGGGCTGGGGAGGATTCCCTCTAGTTCTGCAGTGCTGAGTCTCCTGACACTTGTATGGAAAAAGTGTGTGTGTGTCAGGCAGTTGTGCACAGCCAGTAGTTAATCACCTTCTCCTGTAGAACAACACTCACAGAATGCCATTATATCTTTACAAATTGAAAAAAATAATATATAACCAGCTAATTGGAATTTTAATGACACCCCATGCATATTCACAGTTGCCTACAGGGTCTCCAGCACTGAGCACCTGGTACATTCATGTTCTTAAGTAGGCAGCTGGAACTGTTTTTAAAGTTTTCAATTTCAATATCATCATATTCTGTACGTTCTATTCCATGTATGGTATGTGTTTCATAACAAATTTATCAGGTTAGACCAAAGATGAAGTAGAAGAAGCCTGGAGAAGAATATACAGACAGGATAAGCTGTGTTGTGATAATCATGTTTCAAACAGTGTGGTTCCAACTGCAGGTGGGCTCTAGGTGTTGTCTCTTTAAAATCTACCCCAGGGTTTTTATTCCATAGATTTTTTTGTCTAATCAATTTTTTGGATCTCTGTAAGTATTTGGCTTTTCTGAAGATACCTGTGGTAACAGGTTCACTGACTTGATGTTCTTTTTTTGTGTGAAATAAGTAGTTCTTTGTTTAGAGCCTGCCACTTGCTAGTGCTGGATGGCACCAGTGAATAGTAGACTAGATTTTCATTCACTTTCTTTATGCCATATGCAATTTAAAAATGTTTGTATAATGACGTGGAAGCTTTGGCAGGCTGAAGAGCATGAGCTTGTTCACTTGTTCCTGGTACAGAACCTGCTGTTGTACCTTCAGCCCCCCCTACTGAAGGTGTTCTTCACCTTCCTACATATTTTTGTTATTACACTTCAGTAAACATCCTTTGTTTTTTTTGAAGAAAATAAAAAAAAGTGGTTGGAAAAATGATGTTGAACCATTCTACTGGGTTTCTTAGTAGATTTGACTGGAGACTAGAAATAAAAACTTAATTTGCTTACAAGAAATTTGGAAACTGCACAAAGTAAAGGTACCTTTATAATTGTAGCTTGTTTCAGTCACCTCCTAGTTGGTCACTAACACAGGGAGGGAACTTAGCAAGTATTTTGATTTTAAACATTGTGTGCAACTAATTTTTTAGCAGCTAGTGGTCTGTGATAATTTAGTTTTTTCATAGTAACCAATCCCATTAGTTATTTAATTTTGACACATACAGCTCTATAGTAAATCTGTTTTAAATTTTGTTCCATAGGTTTTCCCTGACCTTGATTGATACCTTGGACACACTTGTGGTAAGTTTAATTTGTTGATAAACCTTGATTTAAAAAAACATCTTCTGGTGTTCAGACTTATTTTTAGATTTCTATTTTGTTAATTTATTTAATAAAAAAAAAAATACTATTCTTTCTTCACCTCTGATCTCTAGCCACCTGTTCAAAGGGGCTGTTCCTTGTAGGATCTTCCAGGTGCTGTGTTGGTGGTGTTTGGAGTTCATTGCAAAAAGAAAACTAGAAGAGTTCCTTTGTGCTTCATTGATGCTTTCTTATCTTGACTTGGCTTGCTGTTATAGTCTAAAACAACATGCTGACACAGGGGTGAACATCTCTTAATACCGACTGAATTATTTATGTTTAAATTGTACCTACGCATTTCCTGGGTGAATTTGTGTGTACTTAAATATATGGTTAAAAAATGCAACCCTGGCTGTGTTTGCCAGGAAATGTTGCCAAAATTACCTTCCAGCTCTTATTAAAAGAATCCAATCATTAATAGACTACTTGTTAGATTTCAATCCCTTTGACATATTTTGTCATCATAAAAATAGAGTTTGGAAATGGGGAATTTTTGGTAAACAAATCTGAATAGTTTTGATAATCCTTGCAGCACTGGTCTGTTGTGTAAATCATGTCATGCTCCTTCTTGACAGCCCTTCCCTCTTTGTGCTGTGCTGTGAGGTGACCTGTGCCTCCTTTGAATTGGGACTGTGGCTGTTGAAAATGTGGAGTTGGGAACTCTGTCACTACCAGACACTCAGATGGATCATTGGGTTGTTTGATTTTTTTCTTGTCTTAGAGCAGGATTTGAACTTGTGGAATTTAAAGGCATTTAGGCTAACAAATTGGATAAGTCACAAAGATTCTTCAAGATAGATTAAACTAAAAGAAAGTTGGTGTGGAAAAAACCCAACCATTGGAAGTGCCTGAGCTGTGTTTCAGGCACACAGAGAAAACTGTTGGGAGGAGCAAAACTGCTAGGACAGTTCACTGATCTTGGGATGAGGCTTCTTGAGTCATGGATTGGAGGCTTCCAAGAGCTCAGAGGTATTGGAGCAGGCCAGGCCTTGCCAGCTCTGTCAGCACAGCCTGCAGCCCCCAGTCCTGGTGCCCTGCAGTCATAGCGTGGGTGCTGGGAAAGGACCAAACAAATCTCTGGGTTCTAGTTTGGGTACATTCTCAGTGACTTTATTCTTTGTGTGCAGCTTTTGTTCTCTTTCATGTATCTCATGAGAAAACCAGTAATACTGATACCTGTTTACACTGAACCAGAGTATGCCTCAACAGGACCCAGATATCAAAAGTGTGTCAAATGCTTTCTTTTTTAATTCATTGTACTTGTTCTACACCTGAGTGTGCCTGTATTACCTGTGTTGGAACCTAAATGCCTGGTTACATTTGCATTCCAGGTGTTAAATAAAACCAAAGAGTTTGAAGAGGCTGTAAAAAAAGTAATAAAGGATGTTAATTTAGACAACGACATAGTTGTATCTGTCTTTGAAACCAACATAAGAGTCCTTGGGTGAGTAACTTTTATGTTTTCAAAACTCTGAAAAATGTGGTTTTTTAGCTAAATGTCCTTAAAGCAGAGCTTTGTGTGCCACTTCACCTCACCTCACTTACAACAGTTGTGCCTTTATCAGTTGGCAGAGCTCAACACCTGCCCTGGAAGGGTTTTGACATGCTGGGCAGGAATGGATGCAGTGGCACTCAGGCAGGCTGACCCCCATCCAACTGCTGCTGGCCTGGATTTTTTTTGGTTAAAAACAAAAATTGTGCATGCTGAGGTAGCAGTGTTTTTGTTAATGGGAACAGCCTTAGAGATGACACTGTGCAATGCTTGAGTTAACAGAATATTTCAATACTTAGGGTTAATAGATTGTTTCAGTTTGGATGGGACCTCTGAGAGTCTCTAGTCCAACCTGCTACTCCAGGCAGGATCCAGGCAGGTTAGTTTTAAGCTATGATAGGCAGTTTTAGAGGTGTTAGTTGGTGTTCTTGATTAACTGTATTGATGAGTCTGTGATTCAGCTATCAGGACAGGAAAAATTGCTTCCGAAATGCTGACAGCTGACCTTGATTGTAATGAGAGTTGCATCTGCTCTACATTTCTGAAAGTTGGGCACATGTGAATATAGCACAGTTAGGTACATTGTCATCTGAATGGTAGACATTGCTGCATTGCTGCTGAGGTAAATATGCCTTTTAAGATGTGGATAATTTTTCTTGTGTTTAGAGGACTCCTTGGTGGGCATTCAGTGGCAATTATGCTGAAGGAGAAAGGTGAATATATGCAGTGGTACAACGGTGAACTTCTGCACATGGCAAAGGAACTAGGCTATAAGCTTCTGCCTGCTTTTAACACCACTAGTGGTCTCCCTTATCCAAGGGTAAGTTCTGTGCTTTCTGCCTTTGAGAATTACTTCTGTAAGCAAAATTTTTCTGGTGTTCTTTTTATCTATGTTTCTAAAATCACTTGTGTATTTATTAAGTATACAGGAAATCAAAAGCTGATGAATTGCTCAGTTGTAATACATGCTACTTGGGATTTTAAAATACTGTATTAGAATTAGACTCTCTGAATACCTACATTTCCAGCTTTGAAAATTCTAATGTGCATTGCTGTAGGTAAATGGTAACAGCAGAAATCTTGTCTTACCACTACTGATTTCTTGCTCTCTGTTACTCCAGGCACCACCAAGGAGCTGAGGAGAGTGGTTTTTGTTCTGGTACACATCTCTCACCAAGACAGTGAAAGAGCAACTTGCAAATACTTAGGAATTTAGCAGAAGTTTGATTAGTCCTCATGGTTTACATCCAAATTTTTAGGAGAGGAAAGGTAGCTGTAATGTAAAAATACTCACTTCATGTAAAAACTTTAATCAAATTCAAACAAAGCATGGTACATGTTTTTTGAGTGATAGAAAAACTACTTCCCATGTGTATCACCTGCTGGGTTTGTGAGATATGGCTTTGATTGGAAACGTTCCCATAAATTTAAAGTTTAGGCTTAATAGATCAGCATTTTTCTAGTGATAATATCTAACTCAAAATGTTCAGTTTGGCAGTTTTCTGTTGAGGGGACCCTCTCCAGAATGCAGAAGGTGATGTTGTGCCTGCAACAAAAGCAGGTCCATCTAGCAGGCATTCTCTGGAGCGAGGAGCAGGAAGGTTTTTACAAAGCTTCATTTCCAGGAACACTTGTGATGTTCTGAGTTTCTGGCTAGTAGATGGCTAGAATTAGGTTTTCAGAGTGGTATTATTTTATTGAAATGTCCAGTGAACCACACAAGTGAGCCTGTCCTGATTTTGGAGGGTTGAGTATTTTGGGTTCTTCAGGTTGGAGTTGGCAGTAGGTGGTGAAGCAGAGCAAAGCTAAAGGAGGGGAGTGATCATTGGTGCTTTCCCTTGCCTTACAGTGGTTCTACAGACCTGCTGTGGGAGTGTGAATTCTTTCAGGTGGTATAAACAAAGGTGATGGTCTCTGCTTTTCCCTAGGTTAACTTAAAGTTTGGTGTGAGACACCCAGAAGCACGAACAGGAACAGAGACCGACACCTGCACGGCCTGTGCAGGCACCTTGATCCTCGAGTTCGCAGCTCTGAGCCGGTTCACTGGGACCTCCATATTTGAGGTTTGTTCTCCATAGTGGTTACTTGGCTTGGGATTGGGCCCAGTTATGTAATTTTGGACAAGTCAGTTTGAGTTTATCAAATGAGTATGTATCTGAGCTGTTCTGCACAAGCAGTGTGTTCAGATTTGTTGTATTTGTGGGATTTTTTTCCTAAAAGTGTTGATTTGACTGCTGAAAAAAGTGGCAGTAATTTTGTTTGAAAGGAGTTACAGTAAGTAAACAAGATAAGCATACTGAAGACTAGCTAAAGAGTAATAATACTTAAGTAGTTTTAGAGTAGAGGGGTCATAACAAGACAGAAGAAAAGTGGAATGTTTATGCCTCAGAATGCAGCTTAAAATAAAAACCATAAGGTCCCACTGATTCTAAGGATATATTGTCAATGGGAAGCTAAATGAAAATGATTGCCAGTATTTCTTTGATATGATTTTAAAAGGCAGGTTTTTTAAATAAGATTATAACTTCTTTAAACCTTTCAGGATGGGCCTAATATTTGATTTAGCTTAATGTAACTGAGTTGAAGCATGGCTGGGCCTGGGTTGAGTATTTTGGTAAAACTTCCTCCTGAAATCCTGTACAAGTGTCTGTCAATTTAGAGCCATTTTTGTTGGGTAGGTTGTTACCTTCAAGTTACTACTTGTGCATATAAAGAATGTATAGAACTTGTCCACTAACAAAGAGGGCTGCTGCTCTGCCTTGAGATGGCTGAGGAGATGCAGCAATTTTTATTCTAAGGCTGGTTTTGTTTACTTGGGCTCTCCTTTACTTAATCTCCTGTCTGCATGCACAATTTTAGAGAGGAAATTTGTGTGGAAGGACACTTGACTTGCCCAAGACCCTACAGCACCTTGGCAAGTGGTTGTGCAGGCAAAGCACCAACCTCTCTAATCAGCAACTGAGTAACTCCATAAAATACAAGTGCACGTCCTGTTGCTTCGTGTATGCAACGTAGTGCTGAGTTCTGTAACTGTTAGATGGGGAACATCTTATACTTCATAGCATCTTGGTTTCAGCAGGCAAAGGAATAACAGTCTCTGGCACCTGTTTCTTGATAATTTCCTTTAATGAACATTTGTTGTTGTTGCAGGAATATGCACGGAAAGCGCTCGATTTTATTTGGGAAAAGAGGCAGCGCAGCAGCAATTTAGTGGGAGTTACTATCAACATTCACACTGGAGACTGGGTCCGCAAAGGTGGGTTTGGGCAAGAATTAAAACCTTGGACACCTCCCCTCTCCCCAGTTATCTAGGCTATTCAAAAATATGAATGGGTTAGGGAAGTGGAATCACATCATTTCAGTGCTGGAGAAACCTGCTACACCGAAGCCTGACTGTGCTCCAGAAGGCTGTTTTGGTAGAGAAACTCATTCAATTGTTCTCTGATTCACTTTATTACTGAGAGGGAAATGCCTTGGGAGAATATTTCAGAGATTCTACTATGAATACAAAGGAAAAAACATAAATAGGCCTGTGGTTGCATGTAGCAGCCAGTAGTAGCATTTTCAAATAAGTGGAAGAAGTGGCTCCAGTGCATGTCTGCTCACACTGCAGGGTGCACGTGCAGCCCTGTGTCCCTGCACCCAGCTGTGCCTTCATTCCAGTGCTAAGAGCCTTTCCTTTGACTGAAAGAACCTTTAAAATCAAAGTGAAACCAAGGGAAAATAACCAATAGCTGCTGAAAGCAAAATCACCTTTTCATTTTCTACTGTTTCTAGATAGTGGAGTTGGAGCTGGAATAGATTCATATTATGAATATTTATTAAAAGCTTATGTCTTGCTGGGAGATGACAGTTTCCTGGAAAGATTTAACACGGTAAGTTAACACCTTGCTCAGGTCTGTGTTTTCTTTAAGACAAATTGAAGACTTATTGTATTGTCAGCTCTTAGCCTGAGGAGCTTACAAAGAGATCTTGAGCAGAATTTCTGTGCCCTCAGCTGTGTCTGGTTCCAGGTCTCTTTACTAGGAGTTTTTGCTAATCTTGAGTGAACTACCCCCTGAGCAACAATTTTAACCCCATTCAATGAAAACTGGAATCTTCTGGACCATGTTTCCAGCACAGGAAAAGCTGTATTTCAAAATCACCTTGGAAGAGTGTAATACTGGAAATGTTTCTATAAAATTATGTAAAGGCCTCTTGCTACAAGCCATGGTACAATTTCTTTCTGTCCTGGAGCAACAAAAAAGATCTGAAACCCAAAGTCTGGATCTTGTATTAATCTGCAGATCCTAAGGCTCAGTATATACTGACGTAGAATTACAAGCTGAAAAAAACACATTACTAAATTAATACAATTGCTACATTTGTAAGACGACTAAGCAACTTTGTCAGCATCATTACTCTTTTATTAAAAGTATTATTCCTCTTGAAAATAGCAATATTCAATGAAACCATCTTATTTTATATCATATAGCATGACTTTGTATCATAAGTAGTACTAAAATTGGGATAATTTGGTAGCTAAAGGCCTATTGCAAGACTTGAAGTGTAATGTTGTTGTTTCATATTCCTAACCTGCAGCCACTATGATTATATTTTGCCTCAGTTATGTCTGCTACCTGTTTGCTGTTGATTTGGCTCATGTGCTCATTGATGATTGTACCCTCTGTGCTTCAGAAGACAAGGCAGGCAGTTATCTTGGGGAGTACTGGATATGAAGCTAGTGAGTTGACAAGTGAACCAGTGGGTTTTAAAGTTCTGAGCAATCAAGTCCAGCCGCTTTGTGGTGGTTTTTTTATACTTTCTCCTCCTGTGATGCATTTGCTTTAGAGTTCTTTTGTTCAAATAAAGCAATTTCAACTTTCTTTAGTGTGTGCTTAAAGATTCAGCCAAAAAATGTACCTTAAGGGTAATAGTTAGTTTTTTTATCATATGGCTCCTGAACATACATTTGTGTGTTTGCGTTACTTGGAAAACATGGTGTGTGTTGCTGGTGTAATTCTGTGGAGCTTTGCAGTATTTACTGCTCTTTTAGTGTAAAACCAGAAACTACTGTGCATTGCCAGATGAAGTCATGATGGGGAGTATAGTGCAGGTTGTTCCACTGAAATAAAATGCCATAGTCTGGTGATCTATATCTGGTGTGTAAAATGTATTGATAATAGAAGCTCACAAGTTTTCTGCTGTTTGTCAGCACTATGATGCCATAATGAGATACATCAGCCAACCACCTCTTCTCCTTGATGTTCATATCCATAAACCCATGCTAAATGCTAGGACCTGGATGGATTCTTTGCTAGCTTTCTTCCCTGGATTGCAGGTAAGGTTTAAAACCCACATGCAGACGATTCTAATAACAAGTAAACAATTAAATAGGCTGGATATGTAATTGACAAGTCAAGATTAGTAGCTTTTCAAAACTACTGAATGAGGATTTCTGTACTCCTGGTGTCACTTTGATGCTGTGATGCACTTTAACCTGCATCTGGCCATGGGGAGTGTCCAGATGAGTGTATGATGTCCTTGCTTCACTCCTAGTCATGAAAGCACTCACCTTATGCTGCCCTTTCAGTAGTCTAGTGACAAGTTTTCTAGTTTGTGTGCTGTTAATCTCTTTAAGATCAGACTAAAACACATTCCCACCACAATTCTCTCCAAGTGATAATAGATCCTTTTCCTGCATAGTCTGAGTGAGCTGGCTGATGTTTCTGCAGCAGCTCTTAAGGAGTAGCTGTGGCTTACACTGCCAGGGGGTAGTATTTGCTGTGTGTATCACTGGAGTGTAGCTTCACATGAAGACAGCGAGTGCCTCACTTTCAGTGTTATTCCTGTGGATGGTGAATTCCTTTTAATGCTATTATTGAATTTTAGGTGCTGAAGGGTGATATTAGACCTGCTATTGAAACTCATGAGATGCTGTATCAGGTTATAAAGAAGCATAACTTCCTTCCAGAGGTAAGGCAGTGATTGTTTTGATCATGTACACTGATTCCTATCTCGATTTGAGCAGTCTCAGATGGCCATTTGAAAAACAGAGGGTGTGTGTCATTAAAGCCAGTGGCTCGTTTCCACCACATTCTGATGTGATTTACAGTTCTGCATATGACAATTGTGTTGAGGATATGAAATGTTTTTCCTACAATAATGCTGTAATCAGCACCATAATAGGGAGCTGCTGCTATTGATAACTGCTTTGCCTCTATATTTCAGCCTTTCAAAATCAACTTTGACTCATTTTAGTATCTGAAACTTGTATAAGCATATGTAGTAGTGGCTGCTAAATAATGTAATAAAGAGCTTTACTGCTAAAGATTAGCCATTGATATTAACCCAAGGAAACTAAAGGGACTGAAGGAAACTAAAGACTGAACTGTTTGAATGTTCTGAAAGTTTGCATGTCCTTGAAAGCAGGTACTGCCAAGTGCAATCTCTGAGCAAGTTAATTCTGCACAGAAAAGCTTGTTTACATGCTGAAGTGTCTTTATTCTGTGATGACCCAGAATACAAGAACTTCTGACTCCATTTGTAATTTTTGCTTTCTTCTGGTGTAAGCTTATTTCTGTTAGAGAACATTTAAATTAACATCACATTCACCTAATTTGGAAGTTGAGACCAAAGAATGCTCTCTAAGCACTGGAAGAATTTTTTGGGGTGCTTTTAAAATGCTATGGTTTGGCTCCTTAGGGTTTTGGGATTTATTGGGTGGGGTTTTTTTGGTGCTTTATACTTGTGAAGGCAACACTGAAAGCTCAGTATTTAAGCAAGTACTCCACCCTCTTTAGCACAGATTTAGTTAAACCCTGGTGTGAACTAGTAGTGAAGATCAGCCATCAGAGAAGTGGCTCTTGCCAGTGTGCATCAAGAGTGACTACACAGACCAGGGAGGTTTTAGATTTCTAGCTGTGTCAGAAACATCTTCTCTGTTAGAAGCAGCTGGCTTCCATCTCTGTCTGCAGCGGCAGTTTATGCACTGCAAGTGTCAGGTATGTTTGCAAAAGCAGTGTTGGGAAGCTTGGGGGCTCCCTCAGCAGGAGTGGGGCTGCAGCAGCGCCGGTGTTGGAGGAGCCAGCAGGGGCTGCTGCTGCCCCTGCTCCGGAGCTCCCTGTGGCCACAGCTCACTGCACGGGCTGGTGTCCGGGCTCCTGCACCAGCACAACCCGAGATCTCACCCCTACTAAGTGGGCAAAAGCAGTGGTTGAGGTTTTGGCCTCAAATGTGGTACCTGGGCAGAGGGTCTTCCAGCCTCCCAATGGTGTCCAGGCTCCTGCACCAGCACAACCCCCCTACTAAGTGGGCAAAAACAGTGGTTGAGGTTTTGGCCTCAAATGTGCTACCTGGGCAGAGGGTCTTCCAGCCTCCCAAGCCTGACGTTGGGCCTGCGCTGCTGGGGACTTCAGCTGCTGTAACACTTCCTGGAGGATTCAGAATAAATCTATGTTTGTTTTTTATTCTTGCATTTATTTTCATCTGTTCCTTTTCTTCCTCAGGCTTTCACAACAGACTTCAGAGTTCACTGGGCTCAGCATCCCTTAAGGCCTGAATTTGCAGAAAGCACTTACTTCTTGTACAAGGCAAGATCATTCTTATGCCTCTGAATTCCCTCTTTGTCTAACACCCTGACTTTTGTTGATGGTTTACTTCAATATAGAATGAGGGTCCCCTCTCCAGCTTATTTTATATCCTGGAGCCAGTTCTGTATATAAACAACATGAAAGTATTGGTTATAAAAAATTGGTCTAGGAGTATTTTTATATGCCTAGAATTAGAAAGAAAACTATGAAGGCTCATACTTTTAATGATACGTAGGTGTTTCTGATCTCCCTCTTGAAGATACATTAGAGACTAGGGCAAAAGTCACTTATACCAGAGAAGAGCAGTGCCTAAATGTCTTGAGTTTCTGTATTTCCATGTCCTTATCTGCATGTCTGTAACAGGTAATGCAGTGGGCAGGATCTCAGTGTCTTGTGACAGGTTAGCACTATTAATAAACTTTGCTGTTGTCTGAGAAGGTGTGAGATCATTAAGTTCTCATTAGGAAAAGGAAATCTGCTAATTGTACAGTGAGTCTGAGTGCACTGATATGTGTGGGTTTTCTTTGTTTTTCTCTTACAGGCTACTGGGGACCCTTACTATCTAGAAGTAGGAAAAACACTGATTGAAAACTTGAACAAGTATGCAAGAGTCCCTTGTGGCTTCGCTGCAATGAAGGATGTTCGGACAGGAAGTCATGAAGACAGGTAAAGGTCTTTGCACTTACTTTTTTTGTTAAAAGATTCTAGGAAAAAATGTAATTACCCTGCTTATATAATCAAATTAATTGACTTTTGAGTACCTGCCTGTCTTCAGTTTCATATCCAAGTCTTAAATTGGCCATTTGTCATAGTCTGTAAACTATTTCAGTAGCTTTATAGTTTGTTAAGTAAGAATATTTTAGTTTAATAATGTTTCATTTGTCTCAGAGCAATAGAGGAATTGCTTTCAAACAAAATATACCTCAAACCTAGAAATTTGTAAAGAGATTTGTTTTTTTCTGTAATGCTTTCTTGTACTGAACATGCTGAATCATTTCCCTCCAAACACAGTCAGTTCCAAGTGGAAGGAATGCCAGTGGAATTAAGTTCAACTATAATAGTCATGAAGTGTTCAGAGATGGAGCAATATGAGTATTTGTTTTCCTGATGTTTTAGAAACAAAGGGATCTTCCTAAAGGGCATCTGTATTTTTCCACAGAATGGACTCTTTCTTTCTGGCTGAGATGTTTAAATATCTTTATCTACTGTTTGCTGATAAGGAAGACATGATTTTTGACATTGAAGATTACATCTTCACCACAGAAGCTCATCTGTTACCACTTTGGCTTTCCACTACAAACCAAACCATCTCTAAAAAAAATACAGTAAGTAGCAGATCTAAACCAGTTTTATTGAGGCTTTGGAGCAGTTCCTTTACAAATGAGAAGAAATGGAGGTAAAATCAGAAAAAAAATCATAGTTTGGAGCACACCAGTTTTAACACTTTGTTTAATATTAACTGTTTCATCACATTAACAGTGACAGTCACATGAGTGTGAACAATGTTCCCATGACTGGATTCTGCACCACTGAATCTTCAGAAAAAAGCTGTGGAATGTTAGCAATATTTAAAAAGAATAATTCCCCATCTCTGTATGAACTTGAAAATAACACACTGATATTTTTATCTTTGTATTTATTTCCTGTTATTTCTTCTATAACATTTTCAACAACATGCCTAAGTTTTTGTTGCTTATTTTAGTAAACAAAACCTGGGCAAATCTTGAAAGGTGTTTTGAGACCACTACAAAGCTAGTTTGACAAGATACAACCACAGTATTTAATTGGTTTAGTCCATGCAATAGGCATTTAGATGTGAGAACACTTCTGGATTTATAAATTACTTCATCTTCCAAAATAACCTACAGTAACAGAACTGTGCTGTGAAGTATCATAAATGCTTGTCACTTGTTTTTTGTGTTCAATAAGGTGACACAGTTTATATTTCAGGCAATAATACTACTGGTAAGTAAAAGAAGTGAGAAAGTGAATGGAGAGGTGTCTAGGGCAGCAGGGATGTCATATCCCTTATGTCAGCCTGTCTCTATTTTTACCCTTTACTGTTGGTTTTGCAGCAATGCCTGGAGCAGAGGAAAATGCTCATGTTGTGTGTCAAGCCATGTGTCCTGCAGAAATCTTAAAACTGAGTAGAAAGCACAGTGGGGGAAAAATTAGTTACTTGCTCTTCATGTCTAATGTGTAACACCTGTAATGGGCCATGGGGTTGCTTTTTCTTGTTCATTGAGGGTGGAGATCCTGCACCCTTTCCAAAATCTTATTTTCTTGAGCCTTTATTGAGTTTTGGAAACAAAGATTTATGTCTTGTGAACTATGCAAGAAGTTCTCTGAAGGGTTTGAAGGAGCATTTTATGGAACTTTAGTTCCCAACATGAGAAGTTGATATTTGGGAGACAGAGAGGATTCCCACAGCTGCTGCTGTGTCAAGTGCTGGCTTGACATACATAGTTCTCTTGAGAATAGCAAATGTTAATAAAAGGCCAGTAAAGAGGAGTTTTCTTAAGGCCTTTGTTAAGTCAAAGCTGCACACAACACAAGTAAGATCCATTGAAAATGGTGTTGACCAAATACATTAAAAGGCTGTGAAGACAAGTATGTTACTGCTTTATGGAATTTATCTGAGGGGAAAAATGATAAGAAAGAATGGAATCTGTAAATGTATTTTTAATATAAACACAGTGCTAACAAGCTGCAGTGTTTGTGAGAGAGCTGGGAGCAGCAGCCCAACATCCTGTTTGTATTTATTCTCATCACCAGGAAAGGTCATGTCTTAGCTGGTGCCTGCAGTTGTGCTTGCAAGGCCTTTCCCAAGTGATGGCACCACCACTTGTCACACTAAGAGCATAAGGACTTTAAAATGTTTGTTCCAGCAAACTAGGAGCCTTTTAGGTCTTGGTTTTTAGGGAGCCTTTAAATACTTGATTTTCAATTAGCTGATAGGGTGCCAACAGGTTTTCTTGCAAGTAGCTAAATACTATGTTAATGTTTGTAGGTGAGAAAAATAACTTGCCAGTTACCCAACTGGTTATTGGCAAAACTAAGAACAGGCTGAATGTGGTTCTGAATCCCTGTATGTGTTTCACATGGCACAAAACAGCCATTTGTGCAAATGTTAACTCATCTTTTCTGAAAATAGAGACTCTTTCAATTCTATATTGAATTCTACATTCTATTCATCCTTGCCCATTCAGACTTGTGAGTCCCTATGGCTCTTGAGGAGAGTCTTTTGTTAGCATGAGGAGATGTGACATTCCTAGTGATCCAAAGCAGGAATTACCCAGTGCCTGCAGCTGGGCCACTCAGCATAAAGGCAGCATCAACAGAAATGGTAACAACTTCCTTTAGTTGCCCAGCACATAAAGTACAGGGCATGGCCTGTGTCATGAGCAGATGTTCTGTGTGCCAGGAGAGGATTAGCTGTTCCTGCAGAAGAAATGCTCAGAACTCTGGATGCAAGTTTGGTAAGTCACAAATGAGAACTGGTGTTGTGTTCCCATCCCCAGCAAGGGGCTGTAGTGCAGGGGTTACCCTTTGTCACTGCAAGGCCTGACAGAGGGACGTGCTCTTCATTCCTGGAAACCCTGTGGTTGTAGGACAGTTCCTGCATTGAGCTGTTCTAGGTACACAGAGTACTTGTGGGTGGGTCTACCTGCCAGTTTTCTTTGTATAAAAGTGTAACCTGCATTTTTAATAGGTGCTCTCTCTCCCATTGCAGACTACAGAATACACAGAGCTGGATGACAGCAACTTTGACTGGACCTGTCCCAACACCCAGATTCTTTTCCCAAACGACCCCATGTTTGCTCAGAGTATTCGTGAACCTCTGAAAAATGTGGTGGATAAAAGCTGCCCCAGGGGCATCTCCAGGGCGTAAGATGCACATTTTCTCTTTTCTTAGTGTGGGGGTGAGTGAAACAGGGTCTTTTATGAATGGAAGGGGAAATACGAGGTGTTATTGGAGTTTGCTCTGCTTGAGTTCAGAGCTTTTGGAATGGGTAGCCTGGCTACAGGAAAAAAATCAGTTATGTTTTCTCTGGCACCATCAGCAAGACTTACTCATTTCCAGCTGGAATTAGCAAGACTTGCAAAGCAAAAGGAGCTTAATGAGCCACATATTCCCAGCGGGAATTGTAGCCCAGGTATTATAGGGAATATCTCTCTTCAGTTTGTAAAATTAGTATTTCTGTAAGTCTCCTTGAACAGTTCTGAGACTCTTCTTTGTAGTGAGCAAATCATGCCACCATATATAAATTCTCCTGTTCTGAGAAACTTAGGACAGTCTATTAAAGCTGGGGACGTTCATCCCTCTGACCACCTCTTTGCCATCTACACTTCATGAGTGAAACTGAGTAGCAACTCTATGAGGAAAAGTGGTTTTAGTCAGGCTTATGAGGATGCAAACCATTCAGAAATGAGCAATGACACAGTGTAGCTTTATCAGCACTGTGGCTGCTTTTTGCGCTACAAAATTACTGACAACATTGACAGCTCTAAGACAGACAGTTTGACTGAGAAGTTATATCCTTGTGAAACTTGTACCCAACATTACTCCAAAGAAATGGTGGTAGGAATAACATGAGAGTCGTGTTTCAAGAATAATTGGTTTTTTAAAGCTTTGACCTCTGATATCTTTTGGTAGAGAAGAGAGTTTGGGAAGTGGACCAAAACCACCTTTGAGAGCCAGAGATTTCATGGCCAGTAATCCTGAACACTTGGAGATACTGAAGAAGATGGGAGTCAGTTTGATCCATCTGAAAGATGGGAGAGTGCAATTAGTGCAGCACGCCGTGCAAGTAAGACCTGACAGTATTTTTTCTGAAAACTTTTCAGTAAAATCCTACTGGCAGGGATATCTGGCATGGGATGTTCAGGAGGGACAGCCAGGCTGTGGAAGGGAAGGGGGCACATGAGCTGAATATGCAGCTGTATTTAGAAGGTTGATGCTTGTTAATACTTTTCCTCCGTGTCACTTTTAACTCATCTCCCATTAAGTCAGATGGAGGCTGTTCATGTCAAAGTGATGCAGTTAAAAACATCTTATCTGAAAATACTACTTTTCAGCATGAGATACTTCTACATGTTTATGTATTTTTAGTTCACTGTGTGGTGGGGATGCTATAAAGTGAAATTCCTCATGAGAAAGATGGAGGGCCCAGGAGCACCCACTCTGCTTTTAATAATCTTTGTAGCAGTGATCCAAGCAAATCAAACTTCAGTTGTATTTTATTTCAAACCTTTAAGAAGAATCTGTATCTTTTCTTTACTCCTCAGGCAGCAAGTTCACTGGATGCTGAAGATGGGTTACGGTTCATGCAGGAAATGATTGAGCTCTCCAGTCAGCAACAGAAAGAGCAGCAGCTCCCTCCTCGTGCTGTTCAGATTGTTTCCCATCCCTTCTTTGGCAGGGTGGTCTTGACTGCTGGGCCAGCACAATTTGGGATGGATTTATCCAAACACAAAGCAGGGGTATGTGAGATGTGTGTGTGATCTGTCCCCAGCTTTCTGTTACTTGTAGCACAAGCCTAAATGTTACTGCACTGGTACAGTCTGGGGGGAGGAGGCTGCAGCAGGAGGGTGTTCATTCACTGTCAGTGGTTAAAATGAAAGGGGGCAGCAGTGACAGAATCACAGCCATGGCAATAGTGGCATATTGGTCTGTGGCTCATGCTCTGCTCCTGAGTCATCAGTCGTGGTTTAGGATTTAAAATGCATACCTAGCATGATTTTTGAAACAAATGTATGTAATCTGCAGTGCTTATCTTCAGAGATGTTAATTCAGGGGAAGGTTTTCCTCCCATGTCAGCCCTTTTAGAGTTAGAGTGAGCTGTTCTTATGAAAGCTTTTCTAAAAGGCTGTATCCAGGTGGAAGAAGAAAATATCCCAGAGGCAGTGGTACTAACTGGAAGCAGTGGGAAAACCTGATGACTTTGGTTGGGCACGATGCAGCCCAAAGAGGAGTTCCAGACTAGAAGTTCACAGATGAAAATTTTCCAGAGACAACAAGTATAGACAAAATACACTGAAGATGAGAATTAGGTTTTCACTCAGTCATTCCTTCCTTCCTTCCTAGAACTCCAGCTTCAGGGATTGCCTGCACTGAGAGAAGACAACACTAAATGCAGTAGATTAACTGAAAAAAGAAAAGCACTTAGGAACTCTTTGCAAGCTTGAACCCAGTAATTTATTCTTTCTGGTTTTGTTTTTCCAGACAAGAGGATTTGTTGCAACCGTTAAGCCATATAATGGATGCTCAGAGATCACTAATCCTGAGGCAGTGAAAGAGAAAATTGGTCTGATGCAAAGAGGCCAGTGTATGTTTGCTGAAAAGGCACGAAACATTCAAAAAGCTGGAGCAATAGGAGGCATTGTTATTGGTAAATAGCATTTTAAGTACTTAAGATTTTAAGTTTGTGTAACCTGGATTTTACAGCTTTGGAGATACTGGAGAGCTGACAGGAAGCTGTTGAACTCTCAGAGAGGACAGTTCTCCAACACAGAAATTGTGCTTTCAGGAGATGAAGAAGGGCTTTGGTTTCATCTGGTTCTGTGCAGAAAGTGTAGCTAAAGATTGTCACTGTTTTTGCAGGATAAAAGTTGTTATTTTAAGGATCACTGAGTGCTGCAGTCGTGCTGTCTGCTGAGAACTGGAGATACAACTGAAAAACGTTCAGGCAAACAAGTGCACCTTTTTTGGGGTGCTTTTTGCTTTTTCCAGCCAACTTACTGTTTTCTGCCTGGGATCCTCCCAACTTGACTGGGCAGTAGAAATTCATGCTGAAAAGCTGCTGGAGCTCAGAGCTGTTGTCTGTCTATCTGAGGAGGTTTGTTGTGTTCTTTTTGTGTGCACCTGGCTAGATGACAACGAGGGAAGCAGCAGTGACACAGCTCCTCTCTTCCAAATGGCGGGTGATGGAAAGAACACAGATGACATCACCATTCCCATGCTCTTCCTCTTCAACAAGGAAGGGAACATCATCCTCGATGCAATCCGGGAGTATGAGGCTGTGGAGGTGCTTCTTTCTGATAAAGCAAAAGACAGAGGTAAGATGAGAGGTTGTTTGTACAAGTTTAGCTTCCATCTGTGCTGTGGCACGATGTGAAATGTAGAGCAGGGGTTGTTGCTGCTCCCCAAAGGTGCAGAGGCCTCCCCTGGGAGCTCTGCTTCTCTGTTTGACATCAGTATTGGTTCTTTCATAAGACCATCACCTAGGATGTGTCATTAGCTGCTCCCCCCTCAAGTAGGAAATCCAGAAAAGCTGTTGATAATTTGACTCACGAGAAAATACAGCCTTTTGGATTCTTTTTAAACCCTTTTAGTCATAATCTGCTTTGAAGTGATGTCAGGAATAGCATCAGTGTTTGCAGTGCCCTACATTGTAAATGCCTCTCTCTTATCAAGCTCCTCAGTGACATTCTTGGTACCCAAAAGGAAAGAGACAACTGGTACAAGTATTTTGCCTATCTAAGAAGAACTGGTTATCATGAGAAATAAGGTTGCTAACATCAGATGTTTTGCAGCTTCTCTTGTATAAGAAGCTTCTCTTGTATAAGAAGCTTCTCTTGTATAATACAGGAAAACTGCAAGCTAATACATTCCCAGTTAAACTGTTTGCCTGTGGCAGAAACTTGTAGGTTTTCCTTTTGAAAGCCTTCCTGGTAGCTCTGCTTTGTCCAGGCAGAGTCTGTAAGAACAAGTCTCTCCCTTAAGCCAGTGTTTATCTTCTGCACCTTTGCAAAGCTGATAGGCCCAAAGCCTTGGTCTTGTTTCTTCATAGCTGCTTCCTAATCCCTCCTGTTTCTAACTGTGATTTACAAAATACTCTAACAAAATACTAAGTGCAAAAGACAGCTCTGCATTTGAGGATTTGTAATCCATATCTGCTTCTTCCCCCCTCCTCATGCTTCCATTTGGAATCCCAGCAACAATCTTTAAAGGTAAAACGATTCCAAACTACATCATTGATAGCAGTAAGTATCCCATGTATGCAGTTCAACTCCCAAGGAGTCTTGAAATATTAGTGCCCTCTATACTTGCTGTAAACATCAACCTCCAGAGCAATCTGCCTGCTTAAACTGGACAGTTGTTGTTAAGCTAAGTTGGTACCTGAGACCTGTTATTTTAATAGTTGCTTTGAGTGGGGTGTTGAAGGAGGCTTTGGCTCTTCCATTCACAGTTCAGTTGCCTTGCAAAGCTCTGTCTGACTCCCACTCACTTAGATGTGGGATCCTGGTGGATCTGGGAGTGCTTTAAAATCTGGTATGAAGTTCAGTGCACATTTGCTTAAGACTGAAGGATGGCAACTAGCACTGACCCAGTAGTCACTAGTCAAGTTTGAAGAACCAACACTAGTCTCACTGTATTGTTTGCCCTCATTTAAAATTTGTTTAAATGTCTTCCCTCCCCTCCCTCTGTGAAGTGTGTTCTTAATAACATTAACATTTCATATCAATGTGAAGTCTGCACTTCTTTGAGGAAATGAGGCCAAGGGAAGTGACCTTGCATTTGAAACACATAATAAAACACTGCCTTTCTAGTCTTTCAAAGCACTTCTTTTCTCTCTCCTCCTAAAGACTTGGAAATGGAGAATATGGACCAGAAGTTATCTGAAAATGATTCACATAAACAGAATTCAGAAGAAGCTCCTTCAGCATCTCAGGATGTTGCTGCAGTCAGCGAGGAGCCTGAAGAAGGAGAAAACTCTGATGTTACTGACCCTGATTCTTTATCTCCTGCTGACACAGCCAGTGACAGTGTTTCCATTTCAAATCAGGATTCCTTTGTCCCTGAAACTGAAGAGGCTGGTGCTCCAGAGCCAGCATATACACAAGGGGATCACCAGCCTCAGGAACAAACGACTGAGACAGAGTCAAATTCCAAAGTTAACTGGGACAATAAAGTCCAACCTATGGAATCCATATTAGCAGACTGGAACGAAGATATAGAAGCATTTGAGATGATGGAAAAGGATGAGCTATGACTTGTAATGATAACTTATTTGTTAGTAAAGACATGGAGAACTCTTTGGGTAGAAGTGAGGCCCTGATATCTGAGAAAGAGAAAACATTCAGTATTGTAATGAGCAGCCAGGGTTCACCTGGAAATTACCACAGAAATCCAGCACTCGCTCCTTGTTTTGTTTTAATTTCTCCTGTTTCAAAATGGGAACGTGCAATTGAAGCATCTGTCTGGCTCCACTGCTGGTGCTGTAACCCAGGAGGCTCCTGCAGGGAATGGGCCTGACTCCTGCCTTCCAGGCTCTGGGAGGTCAAGCTCCCCTGGTCTCTGGAAAGCAGCAGTTGAGCACGGTGGGGTTAACACCTGAGGGCACCTGGAGGCAGCAGGTCACACTGCTCTGGGTGGAGCCAAGGTGGAGCTTCACTGGTCTCTGCTGAGCTGATAGCAGCAGGTGAAGCTGTTTCCAGGTGTGGTGCCTGAACAGCTAGAAGCAGTTTGATTTTGTCCTGACATATCAGGTGGAGACAGTGGTGTTGCTCATCCTCCTCCTGCCTGTTACCGTGAGGAACGACCACGATGACACGGGAGTTTTCCCTTCTGCTGTGCTTTCAACTAGAGAAACTGCATAAACCAAAGGCAGGATGTGTTTTGTAGGCAGGTCCCAGCAAGGAAAGTCAGACAGCCTTGGGGTCTAGCAGGTATAAAGGTTCACAGCGTGGTGTGGAAGTTGTGCTTGAGGTTCAGGTGCAGTGGACAAGGCAGGTGTTGAGTTACAGGTATTTCTCTTGGCCTTCTGGGTTGAAAAACTCCATCTACCCTGAGATACAGAATTTAGACTGGCAATGTTCTCTGAAAGGACACTAAACAGAACTAAATCAGCTATAAAAAAAATCTTCCTTTTTCTACAAGTTTGACTTCTAACAGTTTGACTTTGTTGTCATTCTTTTTATATGCAACTTCTATCCATGTGACAAGACTTAAGGCAATGAGGCCAGTACCAGCAGTAGGTGCAACAACCTGGGCTGTTGGGTCCATGAGCTGCAAGGATGTTACTCTGGGCTGCAGGAGTTTGTTACAGTAAGTCTGAGTCCTCATTTGTCATCCCTATTATCAAAACCATTATTTAAATAAAAATGGGGATGTTTCAACAACTGAGAGACGTTTTGACTGTGTCCAAAGAAACTGCCAAAACCTAATTAACTTGATTTATATCAACTGCTTTTAGTGAATTGTGGTTCAAAGACTTGTTTTATATTAAAAGAGTAAATTAACACTGCCTATATGCTGCACCAGGCTAAAAATGGAGGTTTATATTCATCAGTGGAATTAAAAAAAAAACCAACCAGCCCCATCTGAATTGCACCTTTCATTTAGCTGGTGAAGTGATCTGTGCTGAATATGCAACTGTTAATTGTTAATTACAGCCATACTGTAGTTATTTGTGTGTCCTCCTGTACAGTAGGAATGGAGAAATCCCAGGCAAATGTTGTATACACGTGTACTTGGTGATGCTTTCAAGAGCATCAAAATGCACAGGCACCTTTTGAGAGCATGACAGTCAATCAGAATATTGTCCATAACTGAATGAGAACTTTAAATCACTAGAGTAAGAATTGAAGGGGAAATGAAGCAGTAGCAAAATAGTGAATAAGTGTCCTTTGAAATAAATTAGCTTTTAAATGTAGTTATAATTCCTTTGCACAAAGAACTGTATGGAGGTTTGGACTGCATGAGCAGGGCTTGAAGCAGCTGGGTTTTCAGTTGAGAGGTTATTTTATTTATGGTCTTTGTTCTGTGAGTTCCTTCACGTGAGGAGCTGGATCATGGGAGCCTTTAAGTGTCCTTTGTCCCTCAGAGGGAAGTGAGGTGGCCAAGTGCAGGCAGCTGCAGGATCTGACCCATCAGGTGCAGATCAAAAGGTTTCACTCTGGTATCTCCTTTGATCTGTCAGTGCTCAGTGCCACAAAAGAGCATTTTTGTCCACGTGCTCTTCGACACAGACTGTGTCTTCATACTTGTTAGCTCTTCTGGTGGGAATATAATTATTTTTATAGCTCTGGAGGCCCTCAGGTCACTGTTAAGACTGTCAGTGCAGCAACTAAAGGTTTTCTTTTTTTACTTGCAGAAAATCTAGGTGTAGATGTAAAATTTTATTAAAAGATTCACTTCCTTTGCCACCACCAGCTCGTTTTTATTTAACTGTTTTGTTGGTTTTTTTCCACATCTATTGTTAGCAGATGCTGGCTCTCCTTTTAAGGGATTTTTGAGCAATCCCAGAACTCCATATGGATTTGAAGCATGATTCTGGTGGTGACCTACCTCAGATGGCTGTGGGCTCCTTCCTTTTGGGTTAGGCTTTCTTTTTTTGTTCTGCTTTACCTTTGAAACCATCGTGAGAGCCATAACTTTTGTCTTCAGAACTCAACTGGATAAGGTTGACCTTTTGGGAAAGAGGACTCAGCTGTGGGGGGCAGACAGTTTTATTCAAGTTGTTTTCACTTTGTATTTCCTTACGAGGAAATAGGCTTTTAGTTTAACCTTTTCATATCGTTCTGAAAATAATTCAGTTCTCTTGTCAGCTTAAAAAGCAAAAAGAATGTATTCATCAAAAAAAAAACCCCAAAACCTGTTGGAGAGGGGAGTAAGTTCTTCCCAGATTTCTAGCAGTCTGCTCCCTCCATGTGGAATACTGCTCATACATTGTTCATCAGCCTCTTCCTTTGTATGGTTTTGTACAGTTGCTCCTACGGTATCAAACCGAACCATTCAGGACTCACAGCTGGAGCTTAGCACTTATTCCTTGCCATGTTACTCAGATCAGCCAATTAATGTCTCGTTTGATCTTAGAGGAATCTTTTCAATTGTTTACATTTGATGTTTCTTGATGAAGTTTCAAGGTGAGCCCAGCTTTGGTTCTCCTGCTGCGCCCCCGACGCCGCAGCCGGGCCCGAGCGTGGACGGCGAGAGGTGGAAAATGGGACATCTTATGCAAAAAGGCATCAGGCAGAACGTGGGGAAAAAAATACACACAACCAAACATTCTGTGAATGAAATATTGTATGTTCAGATTTTATAAGATTTCCTGTTGTGTTTTTTTTTAGCCAGCCCAATTTACAGCCGTATATTTTCGTGATGAAAGCCGTGGAAGAACAGGTGCTGTAACACTAGTGTTGGGTTTCATGGTCTGCTGAGCAGTGTATACAATATTTCTGAGGGCAACAATGTACTGTGATGTAAAAGTCTGGGCTAAAATGTATATAACCTGTGTACATAATTGTGTACTTGATTATAATTGCTGATTGTAAAAATTTAATAAAATGTAAATATTCTGGTCAAGCTGTGCTAAGTTGACACCAACTTCCCACTTGCCCAGCCAGCCCAGCTTGCCTTGGTTTTCAGCAAGGCCTTTGGTAGCTGCATCAACACTGATGCTGGGGTTTGGGGTTTTTTTTTTGGTTGGTTTTGGGGTTTTTTTCAGTTCTAATGGGAACAGTTCTCTCTCTTGGACCTGACTGGGTAAGCCTCAGAGGAAAACCAGCCTTTTGGTGGTACCAGCTGTTCTCTGACACCTCTACTCCTAAGAGCTTTCCCTCCATGGAAGCAAATAAAGATGAGAAGCCCAAAACTTCAGTAGCTGCTCAGGTGTTCAGCTGTGTTTATGACATTTGTGAAGTAGAAAGTATCACCAGTCTCCCCAGTGACATGCTGAACTTCAGCACCCAACTCTATGGCTGTGGATCATCAGTGGGGCTGCCCATATGGGAAGCACCAAATTCTGTGAAATCCTGTCTCTTGGGCAGGACAGATGCTCACCTTGGTGCAGGAGGGACCAACCTGCTGCCACGGTCAGGGCAGAGCCACAGGCAGCAGCAGCAACGTTGCAGCTCTTTCTACTGGAGTAACTGGAGATCTTGGAGCAAACTGTTTATTTTGTATCACTTTTTATTTAAAAAAAAAAAAAAAAGTAAAATTAAACAGTTAAAAAACTCTCTTACAGGAACCAATGCCCTCCCCCAGTCTCTAAAGGATCTGGTTTTACCTATCCATGTTAATCTCCACCACCTTGCCAGCTGTTTGAGGTAACAGAGTCACCCTTCCATTGCAGATGGTCTCTAAAAAGGCAAAAACATGATGCAAAATTTACAGCCAGTGCCTCCCAGCCCTTTATGACATGAAATCAGGACTATTTAGTTATTTATTTCCAGCTCTGAACATGTTCCTGACGTGCTCTGCAGGGAGACTTGTTGCATGTGCATGAAGGGTTAGGGAAGCACGTGGGCATCAGCACCTCACACCTCCTACTAAAATCATCCTTAAGTAATTAGGAATTACTGATCAGCTGTTACTCAATTTTCACGTTTCCACCTCCCAGTTAGGTCACCTGGAGCTGGAGGCTTCCAGTGGCTCTGACAAAAATGCAGCCTCAGCTGCTCCACATCCCCAGGCCCATCACTCAGCCCGAAGCTCCCATGGCAGGAGTCCCATTTTCTGCCAAAGTGCTACATAAAAAGATAATATTAATAAATGTTTCCAGCTGGAATGATCCCTATAAAACACAGATTGCCTGGGAAAGTTCACCCAAGCTATTAAACCCTAGTGTGGGTGAATTCATCTTTATGACTCCTTTGGTGGAGGCCTGGGCCAACAGCAGTGTTTAAGCCAAAATTGTGCAAGGCTTGGTAGCACGTGGGGGTGTGGGGAGCACCCTGGGATGGCTCTGGCACCCCGGACAGACCTGCTGGCAGCAGGGCAGGGCAGGGGAGGAGGAGAGGGACCCACCTTCCTGGCCCTTGAGACACCCCAGCCCGTGGCTGCCAGGGCCGGGGTGGGCAGGAGCTGCTGGGTTTCCTGCAGGATCCTGGCAGAGGGGGATGCTCAGAGCTTTGTGCAGGGAAACAAGGAGCAGGTGAGATGAGACATCCAGAGCTGGGCATGCTGAATTTGCTGCCTTTTAGGTTCTCCATGCTCCTTAGAGGCCGTGGTGATTGGCAGAGACACCGTGATCCTGCCCTGCCCCTCTGCTGGGCACACGCTCCTCAGGCTTCTGAACATGAGCAATGGCAGCTTAAAAAGGCATAAGGGGAAGAAAAATGATGCAGGAAAGGGCAAAAAGGCACTTCCAACATGGGCCAGCTCTCGTGGCTGTTTTATGTAACCCAGCACGTGTCTGTCCACGGTTATTTTGGGGCTGCCACGGGGTGTCTGATTGCCAGGCAGGAGCA